GGCCGGAGCGGCCGGGCCGGGGGCAGCTGCTCCTTCCCCCCGCCCCGGTGCTGCTGAAGGGGCGGCCTTGCCCCGACTTGCCCCCTCAGTCACACCCACCCCTTAACGCAGCTCGGCGCGGAGGGAAACCTCCCCCTCAGAGCATTAACACCCCTGCCCCTTCGCAGCATTTTACCAATTTAGACCCTTTATGTACTTTGGCAAAGAAATACAGGTGCAGCAGCCACAAAATTGGTACCTTGAGAGCTGATAACACTGTGCTCATCATCATGTTTGCCATTTCTTCTGGAGGCTTGCATCCCTTTTGCTTTCTCTCACCCTCCCCATTCTATGCTGTAGAGCACGTGGCCCAAATTTGAGTGGCATTCAGGTATCCCTGCCTCAGATCAGACCATGTGAAGGTCACAAATGCATCACCCACACCCAGACAGTTACATGGGCACCCTCCTGTTTGCCATGTACCAGAGGTGTACAGATGTGCTTGGAGGTGACTGAAATGCCAAAAAGGCAAGGAAGCTTTGAATGTCTTGTGTATTAAAAACTCTGTCTTCTTCTTTTACCAGAAAAGCTGCCAGACTAGGAAAATTTCAACAGTAGAATCTGCAGCACAGACTCACACCAGCCGAGATGCCAGTGTGCAGACGGAGCAAAGTAAAGATGCTCTCCATGACTTCCAGCAAGAAGTCCAAGTAGATTACACTGGCCTTCTGTCATTCCTTCAGAAAGTGGAGGACGCTGTTGTCAAAGAGCTAAATAAAAACTGGGAAAGCCGTGCCTTTGATGGCTTTGAAGTGAACTGGACAGACCAGAATGAAACAGTAAGTTGGCAGAATTCAGATCCTTGTCATTACCCAAGCAGAGCTGGTTGCAGTGGCTCTAACTCGTTACCTCTGTTTCTTACAGCTGTGATTGTTCTTGCCAGATTCTAATAATTAGACATTACTAGTTGGTTTTCTTCCCACCTTTCTCCCTTGCGTGTGGTCTGGCTTTGCCTGGTAAAGCTGTTCTTCCTGCTAGCGACTGTGTTGCAGTAGCTTTGTGAGAACGAAGCCTGCAGTTGGTATAGGCTTATCCTCAGCTTCCAGCAGCCCCTTTAGAGCATGCCAGGCTAGCAGGTACCTAGAAACAGTTGCAACCAGTGACTTGGCAGCTGTGCCTGCTTTGGTTAGCTTTGTTTAGTGTGCAGTGCTCCAGAATGGAAGCAGTTTGTGTCAGTCAGTACGTGCTGGTACCATCGTTTTCAAACCATCGCTTGCGAACCAAGTGCTAGACTCATACCTGGGGGGCTGTCATAAGTCCTTGTGGCACAGCCTTCCAGAGCTGTCATGAATCCCCAGAAGTGAGAGGTAGTTATGAGGTGACAGTTAGTTTGGGAGGGTCGGGGGTTGTGTGGGGCTTTTTTTCCCCAGTAAGAATTCAGCAACTTTTCTGTATGTATCTCTGCTGCTTGGGCAGAGGGGAAGCTAATGCTGTAACCTCATGATCATGTGCAGGAGTGTGCACAAGTCTCATTTCTCTGCTTCAGTGCTTGAACTAGATCTCTTCCAGGTGTTGTGTTTGCATACGTTGTCATACCCAGAGGCTCAGGATCAAAACTTGCAGGTTACCAGCGTCTCATGGAATGCAACTGGATCCGTTGTTGCATGTTCATATGGCCGGTGAGTACCTGGCTGGATTGAGTGCAGCTGAGGTTGATCTGGCACCTCAGGCTGACCTGAGTTTTAGCTGTGTTCACTTTCTATGCAGTAAAAAACTATATATACAGATACACACTTTATGCAAGTTAAATAATTCGTATTCAAAGAAACAAAATCTTAGGGCAGTCTTAAATGTCAGCTTTTATTTCTTCTACCTTCCCCGTGCCCCCAGAAGGGGTACACATACTCTTACTGGTTTATTTCTGGATAGATTCTGGTTGGAAAGAAAATGTAAAGAGCAGATGCACTTGCAAATCTGTGTAGGTGAGTTTGGAAGTATGTGCTTATCTACTGAAGATCCTCTTGTTTTCATGTGGTCTCTCAGCACCCCAGATGAACCTGGTACCCGTTCACGTGTGCGCCTGGTGCCGCAGACATGTGCTAACAAACACTTCAGGATTTCTGAGATGAGGTTGGAAAAACAGGAATCTAATCCAGTGAATGTCTACAGCAGCTTCTCCCTCCTTTGCCTCGCTGCTGCCCTTAGTCTGTTTTCATTCCACTACCATTTCTTAGGTTAAAAGCCCCAGTAAAAAGGGTATCCATGAGGGAATGCGTAGGGAAGAGTAAAACAGGGCAAACCTGTATATTACTTGCTCCTTCTGCTCTCCCAGGCTACAGCTGTTTTCAGATGAGAATGTGGTTTCTGTGTCTGTGGTTACCCTCAGTACAATTCCCTTCCATGAACTCCCACAGCCTCTGTGAATCTGTGTAAACTTGTAGCACCTACAACATCCTTTAATAAGGAGCTTCACTGCTCAACTACCCATTGGATGAAAATTGCTCCTCTTATTTGATCATGTCTCTTTCAATATAAGAATTAAAAGCATCAAGTAAAGGCAGTAGAAATGAGGCTCAAAGTCATTGCTTCCTGTCCCAGCCACTGACTGTTCTGCAGAGCTCTGTCCTGCATATCATCTCCTTGTAGCAAGAAGGGACATCACAGAGGTCAGCTTGGTGCTGGTGGCAGAAATACATGTAATATTTTGGCAAGTGTGCAAGGAAGGAACTGGGTAGAAATAACCGAGGAAGTAGAGCGGCTGGTGACTCTCAGCATCCCAGAGCAATAGCTCATGGTCCACTTGTGGCAAACAAGTACAAAGGGCATGGACTGGATGGAATTCCAGGGCCGGGGTGTGCAGCATGATATATGCAGGATCACCAGCACCCTTTGGTGGTTGTGAAGAACATTCTCTGCTCTTTGGAGGCACCTGGGCTTCAAATCATGCTGCTTCTCTTAGGCCAAGAGAGGCTCAGTAAGTCTTCTCAGCCCCTCTGAGCCCTCCAAGTAAGGTATTCTCACAGTGTATTCCCAGGCTCTGGATCTCTGAGTGCTCCTTTAGAGGAGATGTGGTTTGCAACTCAGCCAGTTTGCAAATCAGCAGCAATTCAGTCTCTTTAGATTTCAGTTCCCAAATACTCACAGCATGTATCAAGCAGCGATCTTTAGATTATTTAAATGTTCAGTAGATCTTGGAATAGTGAATTGTATCCAAGATTTACTTGCTGGCACTTTGTTCTGTAATACACTGAGAAGTACTGTATATATACAAGCCTGCAGAGAAGTTTCATCACCTCATGATCCCCTCATCTCAGTTTTCCTTCAAGCCACAAAGCAGCACGTGTAAATGCCCAGAGAGGACACCAGAGGTCTGCTGGACTGGATCCCCAGTGGAGCAGACAAGGCAAGACATCGCTTTCTCTTCTTCAGGTTGGACGGGGGGGACTGGAGCACAGAAAAATCCTACGTTTGTACCTGGAACCTGGACAGAAGAGGGTTGAACCCAAAGCACCCTGACCTGGTGGTGGATGTTCCCAGTTCTGTGATGTGCCTGGCTTTCCACCCCTCCCAGCCTTCGCTGATAGCCGGTGGGTTGCTCTGACCTTCAGCTCTATTCGAAATGCACCCTCATTGCCTTCAGCTTGAATCATTTCCTTCCTCTCAGCTTCATTAGCGCATTTGTTCATCGTTGTCCTTTCAGGCGGCCTCTTCAGCGGGGAGCTGGTGGTGTGGGACACCAGCAGAGCAGAGGACCCGGTGATCTGGAGGACAGGGATGACAGATGACACACACACTGATCCAGTCTATCAGGTAACGGAGAACACCGACAGGAGCCACGGCTGGGGCAGACGAGCAGGGCCATGACTATTTCACCCCTTCAGTTCCTGTTCACAACCAGGCTGCTGCGTTTCAGCGGTTACATTCTCTTTTGGTTGGCTGTTTCCCCCAAATCCAGCTACTGAAACAGGCATTTGCTGAACGTGACACTGTGAAAAAGAACTTCTCACTGTTCAGGATTAACAAGGAGTTGGCCTGTTCCTGTGCTGCAACTGTTTATTGATGCAGATGCAGCCAACACCACTTAGGTTTCAAAATGTAAGTAGCAAAAGGTGTTGCTGATGCTTAGTTGGAAGCTTAAAGCTACATGCTTTAAGGGTGGCAAAGTCTGGCTTCCTGGTGCTTTTTGTCCCCCTGGGGTCCTGTGACTGGGCAAGCTGTGTTATTTTCATATCTGAAAGTCAGGAAAATGCTGTTCATGGCTGGGTGAGAGCTATAAACACCATGTCTCCAAAGCAAGGGCAGGTGAACCACGGGTGCTGCAATACCTCGTGCAGCCCTGAACACATTCCTCTCCTAGCACCTCTGTCTGTGTATGAGCTCCCAGCAGCAGCTGGGTTGGTACCAGGATCACTGGCTGCTGCCAGGCTCTGCTCCCGTGTCATCCTGGGAGGGGTCAGGGCACCGCTGAGCAGTGGCTGGGCCGTTGAGCTGGTCCCCCTCATCCTGAGCTCACGGTGTTTGGAACAGGTGAACTGGTTGCCTGATGCCAAGCACAGAAACCAGCCCCGGCTGCTGAGCGTGTCAACAGACGGGAAGATCTTGGTGTGGAGGGAGGAGCGAGATGGGCGGCTGGTCCTGGCTGAAGGCTTCGCCGTGGTGGCACAGCAGATCCCTCGCAGCTCTTGGCTGAAGAAGGTTAGTTCAGCAGTTCAAGGAGACAAAACCACTCCTAACACTAGAGCCCACGTGGCAGAGCTCACCTCCCATGTGAGAAGAGCCAGGAAAAGCCTCTCCTGAACATATGCACTAACCCTTGATCCCCCCCTCCTTACCCATACTGGAATCACTCCCTGGAAGACCAGCAAGAGGCAGTTTTGCCATGCTCTAAAGAGAAGCTGCTGGGATGGAGACATGAATCCCTTCATAGGAGGGTTCTGCAGAAGTTAAAGGCCGAGCAGTGCTACAGATGTGCTGCTCACTGGGTCCCTGGCCGGCTGGTTCATGCTGCTCCAACTGCACCTGTGTTCACTGGGGGCCCTGCTCTCAGTAGCTTTGTCTTTTCTTCTCCCAGGTCGCCTATGGAGAGGCAGCAGTCGGTGTGACCTCGCTGTCTTTCTCACACTTCGATCCCCGGGTGTTCGTGGTGGGTGTGGAAGGTGGTTACTCCCTGAAGTGCTGCACGACTGCAGTGACACCGGCCCTGCACCGAACGGGCAGTTCTGTGCCGCTGCGGGCGCCGGCAGAACTCGCCTTCTCCCCGCACGGTGGCCCCGTGTACTCTGTGAGCTGCTCCCCCTTCCACAGGCAAGCGCTGGGCACTGACACCTCTGCTGCACCTCGGGCACAGTTACTGCCTGGCTCTAAACACCCGGTTTTCAAACAGCCCCAGGGGGTGGGAGTGTGTCCCCAGCAGCAAAGAATTTCTTCCAAAAACCCTAATACAAGTCTCCCCTCTCAGTTTAAAGCCGTCGCCCCTTGTCCTGTCCCTACATGCCCTTGTCAAAAGTCCCTCTCCGGCTTTCTTGTAAGTAATCTGCCCATCCGAAAGCTTACTAGTAGCTGCTTGAATTGGAATCTCCCACCTCTGCCTGCAGTTTGCCCACCACCCATGGCAGAGGCCCCACACCATGTTTCTATGAAATGTGCTGACAGCCCTGGTTTGCATCTAATTTGCAGGAGACAAACGTGACTCCAACAAAGCCCATCCCTGGCTCAGCAGTTCTCGGGCCTCTGGGCCACACAAACCCTCATTAGACTTAATTGAGGGCAGTGACAAAGCTGCATCTCCACAGCCCAGGGTGCAGGTTGGGAGTCACTGCTTTAGGCAAGCAGCAATACTAGCCAAGGTCATGCTCCTCAACTGATCTTGTTCTGTATTTTTAGCAATAAAGTAAAGTAAGTTGTTTCTTGTTCCTCCCTCCCCCAGGAACCTCTTTCTGAGCTGTGGGACTGATGGACAGGTTCACCTGCACTCCATGTTGCAGACACAACCCCTCGTTTCTCTTCAGTTATCAAAGAAATACCTGTTCTGCGTACGCTGGTCTCCAGTCCGACCACTCGTCTTCGCGGCTGCATCGGGTGAAGGCAAGTACCTGCAGGAGCCTGCTCTTAGACAGGAAATTGGGATCACGCTGGGTATCAATTAGTACAAGTCAGTTGTAGTGATGACATTCCCACGAGCAGACAGTGGTGACCACGTTTGCACCGTGATCAGTGCAATGGGTCATTTCTAACTCTGGCCAAGACTACATCGCTCGCTTACAGTTATTCTTCACTTCTGATGGTACCTCTGCTGCCCCAGCTGCTCACAGGGGCGCAACATGGCAAGATCACCCTGGCTGCAACTTAATTCCATCTTCCTTGGCTTTCATACTTGCTTCTAAAGCAAATGATTTAAACAGGAATTTTTCCCTTAGCAAATTGCCCAAACAGTTCTGGGTTAAGGAATGGGGATATGGCAGCACTTGGCCGCCTGGTTCAGGTCTCTGACAGCAGAACAAATCCGCACTGTCTTGCGGTGATGTCAGTTGCCTGTCACAGCCCAGACACCATCAGAGGGAAGGGAAATGGGTTAAAGAGAACAACTCTGAGCTCCAGCCTGAGTAAATACTCTGCTGTTCAACACAAAGGCCGCTGCTGTAAAGCCGCAGTAACTGTGTTTTGCAGGAGAGGTGCATCTCTTCGACTTCGAGAGGAGCTCACAGAAGCCGGCTGTATCCATGAAGCAAGCTACAGATGAACACCCCGTGTACTGTTTGGAATTTAACATGAAGCAAACTCATCTCCTGGCCGCAGGGGACGCCACCGGAGCCGTCAAAGTCTGGCAGCTCAGTTCAGACTTCACTGAGCAGCGGCCCAGGGAAGTGACACATCTGGAGCAGCTGGCGAGTGAGAGCACAGACTGAGGTGGCAACACAGCCACCTGCGAGAAGCCTGGTACTTCTCTGCCTCCGGAAGTTTTCCACTCACCTCTTCCGTAGCGTTGGCCTGCAAAACACTGAACAGTAGGAGTTTCATCCATACACCAGTTAAACTCCTATTTAATCATTAAACACAAGCTGCTGTGGTTCGACCAGTAACTTTTATTGAAGCACACTGCACCATGTTTTGTTTTCCCTAAGTTTTAAGCTAAGCAGTTTAAGGTTACATCATAAAGTAACATTGATTATTGTAGAGCACAAAGAGAGAGAGAGACACATGCAGAGCTACAGTCAGCAAACGTGAGCGTGTCCTTCGCATCTTTTGGTACTAGTGGGGGGGGTTTCAGATCAATTCACAAAGAGTGAACGTGTAAATTCTATGTAGTCGTAGGCAGAAGGAAGTTCTCTGCCTTTGCCGTCCATGTAGGGCTTCATGTGAGAGATGCAGTAATCGGCTTGTTCCCGGGTCAGGTTCTGAAAGACAAAGACAAGGTGGAGATGGGGGCTGGGGCTGTGGATGGGGGGTGGTCATGGAGCCAGCCTGTTCCCAGGGGCACGGGGCTTGGGGTGTGGAACTACACCTGGCATGGAAACGCACTGGCTGTTGGCACAGTTGGCTGAGGGCTGGAAGGTCTGACCTGCGCTTCCCACCAAAGAGAAGACGGAGCAGGTCACCGGTACGAGGAAGTAGTGCAACCTCTTTGTTTCTCTGCCAGGTGGTGGGTTCAGACAGGAAAAACCTGCTGTCCTGGCAGGGCAGCAAGAGGGAGGAGACATTTCTACTGACTAAGCTTAGCCTTAAGTTTCTCCTTTGCATCACTGTCTGGAGAAACATCTCCCTCTAGTCTCCACAGTGACGAAAAGAAAGTCTCTGAGGACAGTGAACACCCTGCCAGGCCTATAGCAGCTCTTATTTTACTCAACCTCAGTAGTTCTTTGGCAGTTAACACTTTTCCTGTTCCTCTACAGAGCCAGGAAAGCAGGTAAGGGCTGTCACCATCATCCCTTCTTTTGGTGCAGAGGGCACCGTGGCAGGTTCAGGGCTAACAAAACCCCAGTGACTTGAACCTCCAAGCAATTGGTGCCCATTTTTGTTAACAACTTACAAACACAACCCCTCCATCACCCCTCCCCGCTGGGCCACAGCCAGCACGTACTTGGTAGAGCTCCTCCTTGGTCACGTAGGGCTTCCCCTCTGAGCTGAGGGCGCGGAAAGCGCTCTCGATCTCCTCGCTGGATTTCACGTTCTCCGTTTCCCTGCTGATCATGAAGGCCATGTACTCCTGCAGTGAAACGTGTCCATCCCTGCCAGGGAAACACAGCGTGAGTCCTGCTGCCCTTCAATGCCCCAAGCACAGCACTTCTGTACCAGCCCGAGAGGCCTTGGCTTTTCTGGGAGGAGCCTTAGCACAGGGGAGCATCAACACCCCATTTTCTATAGCAGGTCTCTTCACAAATATCAGTCCTATCCTCATAAAGTCTCTTTTAAATGAATTGTTGTGAAAGCAACTGTAGCCTCTCCAAAAGAGAAGTGAGCCCAGTGCTCAGCCTGAGAGAGCTTCCAGCCAGCCTCCCCAAGGATACTGAGACAGTGTCTTGCAGTATGAAAAGGTCCAACCCACATTTACCTGTTGGGATCAACAGTGTCAAGAATAGCCTCAAACTCTGGGTCTGGCTCTCCTTCCTCAACCATAGGCAGGTCGTAGCCGAGAGAGCGCAAGCAAGACTTAAACTCCTGGTGGTTGAGTCGTCCAGATTTGTCCTTGTCAAAGTGCCTAAAAACATAAAACCAAAGCTCACATTTTTAAGTGTCAGTTGTTGAGTACCAAAAGCTGTAAAGTGGGCTGAAAACCAGAACAGATTACAACTAGTCCACTGTTCTGGACAAATGAGCTTGGATTATCAATAGTTCTATCTCACATGCATGAAAAGTAAGCACAAATTCTTTGCTTTGCTTAAAAAGCATCCAAAAATGGCTGTATTCCCAGCTGGAATTCACTGACACTCCCAGCTCCTGCCCCCGTGCCCAGGAGAGGCTCCGTGCTGGTGTCTCTGGAGGCTCTCACCATCTGGCAGCCATGAGAGCAGCGCAGCACAAATGGGAGCAGAAAACAAAGGAGCTGCAAACAGCTCAGTCAGAGAACCCCGTGAAGAGGAACCATCCACGTGCCAGAAGCCTCTCGCGAGTGTTCCCCTGTACTCACTTGAACATCATGCTGAACTCCTTCAGGGCCTCCTCTGTGACTCCAGTCGTGTTCCTGAAAAGGAAGAAGCAAACTGGTGAACAGCTCCTGAACTGCAGAACTCTCCCAGTGCCCACCTGCCCCAAGCCAGCGGCTGCATCAGAAGGTGAGGACAAGGAGCAAACGGAATGATACAGCACCACACTTCAACAGAATCCATCAATTCCTCTAAGATCCTATCGCTGCTAATGGCCAACAGGGACTACTTCTAAAACTAAACTTCATCCCCCTAAGGAGAGCCAGGAGGTGGTGGGGATTTACAAGCTCCCTACATCCATTACAGATACAACTGTTAGCACAGACCATACAAGGTTTGTTTTCAGACATGAGCAGATGTCTCACATCTATCCCCCACCCAAGCCCGACACATGCATGAGCCAGGCAATACCGAGCCTGGATCTGCTGTTCCAGGTTGTGCTGCATTCTCATGCCCAGCTGGTCAAGCTGGTCCCACTGCTGAGCCAGCCCCACGGTGCTGTGTTCTGTGTATTTGTTGTCCAAGATCAGTGCCTCTTCCATGGCTGCTCCAAGGTCCTCAATCTTCTTCAGTTGGCTTCTCATAGCTCGGATCTCCTGGTGCTTGCGCTGTTGGGAAGGAAGAGGAGAAAAATCAAGTAGCACAAACAAACCCCTTCGAAGGTCAGAACACAGGCTGGCAGGGAAGGGAGGGCTCTACTCTTTTTCTGCTGGGATTATAATATACATATACTGGGATTTGTAAAATACTACTCAAAACAACGTTCCTCTTTGTGCATGCTATTGGAAAGCGACAGGGTTTACAAACCACCTCCTGAGCCAAAACCCTCTGACTGGGAGATGTGCTGGGAATGCTGGATCCTCCCTGCCCCTACCCCCCTCATTAATAAAAAAAGAAGAAAAAAAGGAAAATGGTATCAATGTTTTGCGGCTGTGATTAGACATCAGGTATGTGAATAGATAATCACAAAGGTCCCCTCAGTACTTGGAATGTGAGCAGTTACTTAGGATTTTACCATGGAATGCCATGCATTGCCAGTCCCACTCCAATTTCATGTATTTTAGCAGTAAATGAACATCACTTACTTTAGTAGCTTCCAACTGTGATTCCAGTGTTCCCGATTCCTCCACCATGCACGACCTAAACACAGAATCACAGTGAGAGAACGCACTTACCCCAGCAAAAACGGCAGGTGGGGCTTGAAATTAACAGTCCTTCCTTGAAAATAAAGATCCTGACAGCAGTGTTGTTCTCCTATAGATATTTAAACACTGGTTTTGTGTTTTGTTCTGACTCATCCTGTTTCAGACCGACATGTGATTTTTCTCTCTGTATAGAGTTAATTTCTAGCCCCATTTAAAGGCAACACCATCAGCAGCCACACTTCATGCCAGATCCAAAGCACCCGCTTTACTGGACCTAATGAAATTAGGAACTTAGTGCAGTCCCACCCCGCTCCCCCGTGCCCAGCACACACACACACACACCCCAACCACAGGTGAGTCCCTGGAGATGGGCTGTGCTTGCCAGTGGGATACAGGGGTTCTACAGAGGGGTGTTACATGGGGATAAAACAGGGCAAAAGACATTGAAAACTACTGGTTTGGTTTAAAAGCAATCCTAGTATGGCACAATTGCTGCAGGAAGCCACAGACCTCTCCTCTCCTGCAGGGGCTGGGGGACAGTTGCCCTTCCCACCCCTCCTGTGGTGCATCCAGAGCAATTGGGGCATGGTCACTCTCCTATGGCTGGCTTCCACACTGAACTTGCACCAGCAGATGAAGATCACACTGTGGTGATGGTCTGCAAGATCTACTACATATGGAACAGCTATGGAAAATCTCTGGATGCTGCTTTTTCCCCCCAAGATCCCAAGCAGCCTTCAAGCAGCAGTGGTTTTACAATCCCTGTCCTTCCAACATGTAGGGTGAGAGTTCATACTGAATGACCTGTACATGGACACCAAGCCTGGGCGCTGTCTCCTTTGACTCTGCAGTATTTAAGTTCCTAAAACTTAAGTAGCTGCTATTTAAGTCATTAACCCCAGGGTTTTCATCCCTGCTGAGGTTTATCCTCCTCTACACCTTTGAGCTTCTTGAGAGGGGGCTTTCAAGTGCTGAATCACTCCGTAGCAATGAAAATGTACCAAACATCTGGGGGTTTCTCATCACAGGGTTAAGCTCAGGTTCAATGCACGTCTAAAGAGATGAAGCGCACGCCCAGAACCCTGAGCAGGAAGCTGGGAACCACCCATGGAGAGAGTCAAGAGGGAAACAAACCTCCAAGCATCTCTAAGCCGTGAAAGTTAGTTGGAAGGAAAGCGAGCCTTGGAATTAAAGAGTGCGTTTGAAAACCAACGTGAGGTAAGAAAATAAGAGGAAAAAACCTTCCGGATAGATCATCCCCAACTTCATACTGATAGACACGAATGACACGACGATATGCTATGCTAGTCAAAGAAAAGAAACCAGGTAAATTCCTAAAAAGAAGGCAGAAAGAGCAAAGGAAAGAACACACCAAAACACGGCCACTGCAGTGGAGCCACACTCCAAGCCAGCACCACCTTGCAGCAAACACAAGCAAGTGCTTTAGGAAAGGAAATTCCTCAAATGCTGGTTGCACACACACAAAATTTATCTGTTGTTGTTTTTGTGTAAGTCACAGAAGAGGAAGTCTCTCTAAGAGACAAGCTGAAGCCCTGCAGTTAACTCCTCTATAGTGTATGCCTCTTAAAGGCATTTATTCTTCCTGATCTCTGCTCTGGGCAGTGGAGAAGTACACAGAGCAACGCTCACCTTGGAACATCTCTGAGGCTCTGCCTTCCCTCTTGCCAAGGAAGGCTAAGCACAGCCAATGCCTCTTTGAGCTAGATCTGTGGTTTTAATCTATTCAGGCAGAATTAAGGCCGGAGTCAGCCTGGCATATCAGCAGCCTTCTGGTAATGTGTTCAACAAAAGAGCCTGGCGTGGTGATCTCGAACTCTGACCCTACATCTTTAAGTAAATGGCTCCTTTCTGTTGGCTCGTTCTTGGATACCAGAACTAATCTACAACACTGCTTCACAAAGGAGCCGGGAATTCAGCATCCGTTCCAGGAAAATCTGCTCGGTGCCATTAAACTGTACAACAAAAATGGGGTACATTATTTTTATCTGGCAGAACACAAGACACTGGGATCATTTAAGAGCAAATAAGGAGCAGTTATCTGCAAAGATTCCACCCTTTTATTATGAAAAGCCATCTCTCTCCATGTGAAAGGCTCTCTCACCCTACACAGGGCTGACACACAGGCCTCTGCTCCAGGCCCAGACACCATTTGTTGGCATTTTACATGATGTCTTACTACAAAGCTGCCATTGTACTTTTAATCCTGAGGAAATTTAAATGGACAGACTCACCCTCAGAGGGTTTGGCAGTCCAAAGACACTTAAAGATCTTATTTCCTTTCCACTACTTGACTCCTCAGGAACTATTCCCCTGGACACAAACTGGACTTAAAACTGCCAGCATCAAACTGCTGTCAAACCCAAGCACATTCATGGGTTCACGCTGGAAGGGTTTCATTTCTCCTATCAAGGATTTAATCTTTGGGGGATTAAAAAATGGGCAGTTCCTGTTTGCATACTACAATTTTAGGATACATAATTTCAGTAAAGCTTCTTCACAGGAATCTTCCCTTCTCCTCACCAAAAACAGTCAATACTTTGGAGTTCTGATTGTTCTGAGAACAGCTGTAATGGAAAAGTTTATTTCACTAAGCAAGCCTCTGAATGCTGGAAAACCAGGAATGTCAGCTCTTTTCCAAAGGTAGACTAATCTATGTCCTGACACACCTCATTAGATTAAGAGGCTTTTCTTGTACAAGCCCTCAGAGACCACAAGAACAAAAGTTGTGACTTCCATGGAATGCCAGTGGCTGCCCATTAGTAATTTCTTTTGCTTTTGAGTAGGAAATCATTGCATTTCTACTGCTTTATACTAAATCTACCCCAAAATCTCGTTTCCTGTGTCTGTGCACCTCGGCCAAATTGCTCTTTTCAAATAAAAGGGTTTCAGCACAGCTTTCACGAGCAATGTAATGACAGAAGGAAGCACACAGACGGAGCAGAACACACCATCAAACATTTAAAGATATAAAATTCAATACTAACCCATCTAGCAGGTAAGTCCTGTAGAATGTGAAGATCCAAACATCAGGCAGCAGGACAGAGACAAGACAGTAAGAGAAGGACAGAGGTTTGGGTGGGAAGCAAACATCAACAAGTTAAAAATCGTATTTGTATTCCATTACTTCATGAAGACACAGAACTATTTGTAAACAGAGAGACAGAGGATCACAGGATTACATGGAAACAGAATTCACCCCCTCTGAACACAACTGAGTGTGTCAGAACTGGCCCATGGCTCTGTCTGAGCACCCTGACTGCTGTTTACTAGAAACGTGCTCTTCAGTTCACTGCTGTTCTCACCCTTGAGGCTGTTTTATTTCTAACACAGTTGTTAAATCTTTACTCCCTCTCCCTAGGCAAGGGTATTACTAGACAGCACCCTGGGCAAGTGATCACAAAGCAGCTTTAAGCTTTTTTCACAGCTTCTTTCTCTACTGGAATTCTCATGAGGTTTCTAATGTACTATTCAATACAAAAAGAGCACTGACAGAACCACCACTGGCACTTCACACAGTCTGCTTTGAGCTATTTATTCCCCATCCATTCAACTGTGCTGCAGATTACTTCAGGAATAACTGGAGAAGAGTGAAGTCCTGGATAACTGGAATTACTGCAGGAAAATTAATTCAGCAGCAGAAACACTGGTGTTTCAGGGCTTTCCTCTTCCCTGTGGCTAACACAGCTTTCCTCAAATCACAACTGCAGGAAATGAACAATCCCTCAATAGCTGTTTTTCAGCAAGAGACATTTACAACTTAGAACAAAAAGATGGATACAAATATTAGCTGAGAAATCTCTAAGGGCAGCTCCTGGAAGGACAAACGATACCTGGTCTCCTGAATCCACTGATGGAAAGCATTAGCATGCTGAGCAAATTCCTGGCGCAATTTGTCGTTTTCTTCCTGCCTTCTCTGTTCCTTCTGCAGCTCCAATTCACGCTCCTGAAAAATGAACAACAGTGATTTCAATTTCAAAGACAGAAATAATGCGACTGTCCTTGTCCTGTAATACAAAGAAAAAGCTAAGAGCTGCAGCTCAAAACGAGACTGAGTGCTCCAGGAGTGTCCTGAATATCTAAAGACAATCATCTGAGATAACAACATAGAATGTTCCTACTTAAGTCTTGAGAATTGGAACTATTTTTCTGCACAGTATGGATGTTAAACTCTTTTTACAGCTAGGAAATGAGGCACATCTGCTTTGTCTTTGAAAGGCCACAAATGACCCATGAAACCAACTGACAACAGCACAAGTTTACAGCTAATGGAAATCTTTCTCTGCCCAAATTTCACGGTATTTCCAGCTGTGGAGACAAACTCTCGTGCTGACTATCTTGGAGGATAGCTTCCAGGGAAGACTTGAAATGTTGTAAACTAGGAAGAGTCCTCCTCTCTCTGACTTGCCTTGATAATTTTCTGCAGGTTCCTCCAGGTTTCTTCAAGAGCCTCCATAGTAAACCAAGTGTATGGGTTGGAGGCTACACGGAAGCTCTTGATCTGGCGATCGAGCTCTGCCAGCTGGTTGAAGTCAGCCTGGGCAGAGCTAAGTGAAGAGCGGAAAGCATCGTGAGCTTCCCTCAGTGCTTTGATTTCTTCCAGCGAGTTGCAGCGCACGGGATCTGTCAGGTCCTCTTCAGCATTCTCAAACCAACTGTTGAAGGCAGATGCCTTCTTCGCAAAAGTCAGGAACAGATCCTCAACCTTGGGAAGAGAAAACAACCCAGTTGTTCAGTTACACAGTAATGCAAATGTTCTGTACCAGACTGGATCTGGAATGAACATGCAACAGTGACAGTCTTTATTCCTTATTTCTTGCAAGCATCAAAAAAATTCTTAGGGTAAGTCCCCAGGATTGCTATAATCATTAGCTACAAATGGAAAAGCTACACAAGTTGCAAGTGTGGTGTATCTGTTTCAAAGGGAACAGTAAGATGTTTGTAGCTCCATGGTCAGCCACTCACCTTCCTGAAATGCTCCTGAGCCTCCAAGAGTTTCTTTTTCCTGGCAGCAGAATTGGCAAGTAACTGATTCCAGCGTTTCATCAGGGAAGCGTGCCGAGCCTCAATGGCCTTTGACTGGATGTGTTTGGCTGCTAGTAGCTGGTCTTTCAGAGCAGTGATGTTTGCAATTCCCTCCTGCTGGAAAGCCTGAAGTCCAGCATCAAAAGTTTCCTGAAGCATTAGAAGAATAATATTTCAGATTGTATTTTATTTAACCATTCCAATATCCTGCAAGTATTTCAAACGCAAGTACCAGATTTGTGTGTATTGTAGAAGAGTTCTCCTGTTCTTTTCATCACTTACAGGGTGGGAGCAGCATTAGCACTAACCTGTTTGGTGAGGAGTGTTTGCACAGAAGAGAGGTCACGTCCATAATCATCTGTCTTCAGACTGTTTTCCTTCTCACCTGGAAAATTAAATAAATTTAGGAAAAATGTCAGGTCTATATCTCAAGCATTCCCTCTATTCTCAATCAGGTTACTTCCAAAGCATAAATCAGTACAGCACTGCTGATTACTTCGGGTTAGGTCTGCTTGTTACAACAGCAAGTGAGAAACTATTTGACGTCTCTTGAAACGAAGGAGTGTTTTGGTTTCTTTGTGCCAGACAACTGTGCTCCCACATAGGACATACCTATCCATGACTCCACTACATCTGCTTTCCAGTTGAACTGCAGGAAGGCAGAGTTCTCATCCAATTTGGCTTTCCTCTGAGCTGCTGCTTTTTCCAGATCTGACACCTTGCCTCTGAGGCCCTTCATCTTGGCTGTAATGTTCTCCACGTGGTGATTGTTCTACATGACAGGAGAAAAAAACAAATGCATCCCCTATGACTGGGGGTCATTCAAGGCATCCAGTAAGTTGGTGACAGAGCAAGGACTTCAGCTGAAAGATTATGTCTAAGAAATAGCTTTGAAAGCAGTTGACAGCTACAGCTTACTCGACTGCAAAAAATGAGCAAGAGTACTTTTTAAAGAGATGACAAATCAGTCCTCAGACAAGAGTAGGTCTATTTTGACATGAGAATGTCCCTGGTAGCCTTTGAAGGTTTTTCTTCACCAGTTTATGCTCACCTTTTTAATGAGATCCTCTCCATTAGCACAAACATCGTTCACTCTGTCTTTGTGGACAGTGAAATCAGTCTCAAATGCTTCATGCTTTTTCAGCAAGCCCTGCAAACACGAGGCACAGACACTTCTTAAAATCATTTCTCACCACTTATTCAAAATCATTTTTACAAAAGCTCATTTGTTGTTATAAATCAGCTAGCACAAAACTTCTTCTGACAGAAACTACTCATCTTTAGCTGGTTAGCACAACTTGGTGCTTCTCTGTGCACAAAAGGATGCTGACTTCCCATACAACTTCAGCCATTTGATTTAACCAGGACTGCCCATCAGCAGTCAAGATGCAAAGCTACACCAAACTGCAAGACATTTCTACAGGAAATAACATACTTCGGATGCTTTTATGAAATTAATTCACATTGTTTATGCTTTCAAAAGGAACCAATAATAACCTCTGAATTGGAAAGACAGTTAAAGAAAAGATTTGTTAAGCTCTAGCTGACAGTAAGAACAATGAAGAGCTGGTAACTTTCTCCATACCTGGATAGCAGCAAGTGTGTCTCCATAATCCTCACTGGCTACCAGGGTCATTTTCTCATTGATCCAGGCTTCTTCTTCCTCAACATTTGCTACAAACTGCTGGTACTCCAGTGACTCCTCCAGACGCTGGCCCCTGTATGGGAAAAGGTAAAAAGAGACTGAACCCTAAGCACACAGTCATTCACACTTCACTTCTCCAGCAGCAGACTGCAATATCTATACCTCTAAACATTCACTAGGCCACAAAGCTGCAGCTACTAAAGAACTAAAATGCATCACTTTCTCCCCAGGAGCTTCTTGTCCAGAAAAACATCCTGGTAATGGATGAAAGCCAATTAATTTCAACTCTATGTTTTCCAAGTGGTGCAATAAAAGGCTGAACACAGTATACTTGAGGAAAAGACTCGTGTTTCTACTGAAGAACATTATCACTAAAATCCTTTCAATAGTCTCTTAGAGTCTGTCATCAGTAATATGTGCTATTACATTGTAACTAATGATCCATATCCCAAACCCAGTAAATCCAGTTATTACAAGTCTATGTAACTGTTCTAATTCATGCTGAATGTCACAAAAACATCTCACGCACCTTGCAGCTGCCAACTGCTTTAACTCTTTCCAGTGATCCACAAACTGAGCCAGCCTCTGCTGTATCTCCTCCTTTCCAATTGTGTTATCATCTGAAAGCTTCTTACCAGTGTCTAGAACACCCTGCAAAAGCAGCGAAACACACAGTTAATGGAACATCACTTCCTCTCCTCTTACGCATTCTATCTGGATTCCAGCAAACCTTTTCCTGGTTTTTGTATTTGTCACAAGCAAGAAAGATGCCATTTATAGGTAAATTTGTCAGGGAGAGAGGCATTTACCTGGATAGCAGGTTCATGGGCAGCTAATTCTGCTTCTAAGCGCTTGTGTTTCTTCCTAAGGTTCTGCACACCGGTCAAGTCTCTGCCATAGTCCTCTGAGCTCACCAATAGTTTCTTCTCTCTAAATTCAGGGGAGAAGGAAGAAAGATAAAAATGAGAGATTATTTCTATAGGTCAAACGTTACAAAAGGAAAAGAAAATGACTGCAGATCCGGAGATACTGCTCTGCACAGCACAGAAATCTGGCTAAAACAAATACTTCAAACTGAAAAAATAAGACTTGAGTTTTTGGTAGGAGCTTTCACAAAAAGACTAGAACCATATTTCAGTTATCTGGTCCAGGCCTAAACAGCGTTACTTTTTCTATTAAAGGGTTTTCCTTCTCAGGGTTTGACCAAAGCAAAACATAGATAAGAAGTCCCACCCAAGTTAGCACTGAAGCCACGCTGAATACAGTTTTCCTTGAATGGGGGGCAAAGGTGATTTCTCGTAGAGACACATTCTTGCGGAACAGGCAAGATACAAAACCACACTACAAATGTTGTTAGCAAGCTGGCAGTAAGCATGTGCCCCCATGCCAGAGCCAAGAACTCCTGAAATGCATACTTGATCCAGGACTCCTCATCATCCATATCCCGGAAGAACTGGTGCAAGCGGTGGGACTCGTTCAGCTTTGCTCGGCGGGCAGCTGCCATGCTCTTGATCCTCTGGAAGCGCCCATTAATGGTCTCGCGCTTATCCTTGACTTGGGATGTATCAAAAGCACTGCTGGTCATCAAACTGTCAGCCTGGCTGTTCAGGTCCTTCAGACGATCCTGGAAACAGGGGTGGAAAAGGGGGTGAATTGCTCGGATCTCATTTCTGTTTGTTATGTCAGTGTAAAAATCGTAAGTCTGACTGCTGGGCAGAGGCACAGCTTTTATTAAGAAAACACGTTTCAACAAGTGTATGACCACAGCCTGTACTGAAGTAGGATCTGTAGAATTTGCTGATTACTGTGATGTAGCTTCCAAAACTAAAAGAGAAAGCAATACCTCATGAGCAGATATATCAGCTTCCAGTAACTGGTGTTTCTTCAGAAGGTTGTTAACTGATGCCAAGTCCTTTCCATAATCTTCAGATGCCAACAAAGCCTCCACCTGCAGGTGGGGAAGGAAAAAGAGGATGGAGAACAAGTTGTGTTTTCACAAACCCCTTGAAATTATAATGTCTTTTAAACTGTGCAAATTAATTCTCTTAATTTTCTACAGTGTGGATAAACCTTTGTCTCATCACCTGTTTAATTTTTAACAGATTCTAAGCTTCTTAAAATATGTTTCTTCTCACCTTACTGTTTATAAATAACAACATACGAACATCTAACAAGATTTTTAGTCGCAATAAAGATTCTTTCAAAATAAATCGAGACTTGCTCAAAGGTGGACTGTGCTCCACAAAATCTAACATCAAATGGAATCAAAAGGTAGAAAATGCAGACTTGCAAGTAAATAATCCCAATCTCAGTTACCTCTGAAAGCCAGAAATCGAAGTCCTTGATTCCAGTATTGAAATTCTGTTGCTTATTGGCTTCTTTCAGTTTCTGACTCTTCTCTGCTGATTTCTGGACCAGGAACTGCCACTGGTCAGCCAGGGCAGCTAGACGTGCCTGTTAGAACATGGAAAAGGTAAATGCTGCAAACTGAAAACAAGATTTGGTTTTGAGGGACAAATATCTCCAATTACCCAAACACTTCTCAAAGCAAAAACTAAGCAAATCTTCTAAGACTTGTATCTACCTTCACAGCATCCTCACTGCCAGCACATGCTCCTCTTTCGATCAACGAGTTCCCCATATCAATGACCCCGCGGATCCGATCTGCATTGGCGTGGAGCTCAGCTTCAAAGGCTTGGTGCTTCTGGTGCTTGCTCTAAGTTAGGCAAAAACAGATCTGTTGGAGACTGGACAAAGGGCTCCTAAATTGTTCTCATGGGTCGAGAGGGCAGAACAAGAGTTGTTGACATGAAGAGGTTTGTATATAGCCTGATCTAAGGAAGATCTCCCTCTCAGCAAGAATACTAACTGCTCACTCAAATAGTAACTCTCATTGGTATGAGTAACCACCAAGCTTTGACCTAGCAAAACTGTCAGTGAGCTGATACATAACTCAGACAACATCCATGTGCCTTTTACAGATGCCCAGGCACTGTTCCTGGCATTACATTTAGCTGTTACTTGAGTGAAGCTTTCCCATTTTCAGTGCCATCACCCTTGAAAAGCAGCAGTTGTACATGCCCAGTCCATCATCCTTTCTACTCCTATAGTAATACCACAAATTTCTGTTTCTCTTCCTAATCATAGAATAATTAGGGTTGGAAAGGACCTTAAGATCATCTAGTTCCAACCCCTCTGCCATGGGTTATCTATAGGTAATGAAGATCAATTACTGCTGCAGCCTGTCTGCTTTCTGCAGAGTTTTAATATTAGTCCAAGTCAGCCATGGCCACATTATATATTAAAATAACGAATTAATAACCAAAAACCTCTATAAAAATAACTGAATTATTTGCTCATTTTTCTCTGCCACGTTGAGAACACCATGAGAACAACAGGAGCCTTGGTGTGGGAGGAAGTATGCAGTTCTCTCTCATATATACATGATCCATCCACCCACCAGGAAGATAACAATAGCACAAAAATGCCAAGACAGAATTTACAAGTATTAACTGGAAATGCTAGTAACATTGGACATGGGGATACAATGCCCTGAGAGAATGGAATGAAAGGAAATGTTAGCTTAAAAATAAAAGATGGAAAATACTATAGCGCCAGCGTGAGAAATTCTGCATGAACTGCTTTAGTTTGGGAACCGAGAATCCTGAATGCTGAGATTATAAAAAACATCCTTCAAAGGAAGATTTACCAACATGTAAAACTCAATTAAAAAGCTGCCAATTGCATATCTCCACATAATTACCATGACAAATAAATCCTAGACAAGCCTTTTTGGTTTAATATAAAATTATCAGTTTTTTCAACTAAGAGAAAGTAATAATGTACTACAGCCTAAAGTGGCAAATGATGATCCTTTCCTTTCTTACTCCTTAGCTTCCCTGGTCTTTGTTCTGTTTTCTCCTTCCATGTATCCTCATTTTACTCCACTTATTGGATTCCTACAAGTCCTGTCAGCTTTCCAGCTGGTACAGATCTTTTTCTGGAGTGTTCCTTCTATACCATTCCCTTCTAATGCTACTGCTGTCTATCATTTTATTGAATTCCCCATCTTGAGCATTGGATTCTATAAAGGCAAGCTAACAGAGCTGGCATTATGCCATGTGTCAAATCATCACTGCTGAAGATTCAGACAGGAGGATGATGGGCCCGACAGGCAAATTTCTGAAAAAGGAGGATAGAAACCCACTTTTTTCCTATGGGCTAACTGCTAAAAGCCCCAAATGACACCACTAAAGCACCACAAAAATCAACAGATCATGCAGAACACCTGCAAAATGAATACAGAAATACATGATGCTGAATAGGCATTAAGAAAAAGCCACACCCGTGACATGGAGACCAAGAGCTGTACCTGGATGGAGGTCAAGAGCTAACAGAAAACAAAGAGATTGCATGAACTGATGGATGGAGCGACAGACTGCAACCAGACCTTGTGCTCACACATAAGCTATACAAAGAAAGCAAATTCACATACCAGGGCTAGTCCAAACTACTTACCAGCAGTTTGGAAAGCTATAAAACAGATTGAGAGAAGTAGTTCAGTGCATTCATACTACTTCGTAAACCAGTATTAGAACATAAGAGGTAGCTTTAATTAATTATTCCTTCATACTGAAAAATAAATGAGACTTCACAGACCCCAAAACTCCATTTCCTTACTATCTAGATGCTGGGAAAGAGACAGAATAGCTCCAGGGTTTCTTCAGGAAACTTGCTGCTGCAGATACCCCATATCTTATTAATTACATGCATCAATAATTACCAAGTGAGTTCTATTTTGGGTCTGCTTTCATGCATAATGTAACTTCCATTTTCTCCCTGTTAAACAGAAACCATGTCCAACATGGTCTATTATTCTGTTATCACTGAACAAGAACTCCTGAGCAAATTCTTTCAGAGTATTGCTTTGCAAAGTTCAAAACAATACTTCAGTTTTTCTGCTGAGAATCATATTCACCTGGATATTTGTGGGATCCTTGTATGATTCATCACTTGCAGTCTGGAGCTTTTCACTGATCCAAGCTTCTATTTCATCCACATCACGACTGAACTGCTGGAGTGTCTGAGATTCTCCTAGCTTTGACCTCTTTTCAATCATTTGAGCTTTCAGACGAAGCCACCTGTATGCAATTACATGCATATGTTGAATGAGGAACTAGGGCTGCACACACAGCTACAAAATGTTGCCAAAGAGCATTCCTTTTCAGTATCTGCATCCCATCTAACAGGACAATACTGACCTGTCCAGAACCTCATTGCGTCTGTTAGCAATGACTCCTTTTGCATAATGATCAGCAGAGATCAACTGGTCAGCAAAAGATTGTAAGACAGCAATTTTCTCTTCCTATTGAAAACAGAAGCCATAAATTAGAACTGTGGTTCCTTAAAGTCAAGTGGTGGGCAGGGTCTAGAACAGAACAAGGCTTTAGCTTCTTTAAAGATAGATTTATACAAATACCTGCCACTACTACTCCTACACTGTCTGTAGGCAGTGAAACATTCCTATCTGCATCAGCTGCTTCTAAACTTCTGCAGCAGATTCAAAATGGCTGAATATTTAGAAATGAATTTTAGAATCCACAAATGGTGGAACTTCTTTTGCTAATAAACTGCACAAAACCCCCTGTTTTCCCCTTTCTTCAGCTACACTCCTCACCTGGACGTTGATTGCCTTATCAAAATCTTCGTGTTTCTTGATGAGTGCCTCCACACTGTCTAAGGAGTCTCCTTTATCTTCTGTATTGAGGAAAGCCTCTCTGGCAGCCATCCAGTTTTCAGCTTGTTCACAGTCCCGATGGAACAACTAGGGAGAAAAAACTCCAGAGCATGAGAAAGGCAGACCAACAGCTGCTCATCACTATGAAAGAATAAGCTTTCTTCTGAAAGCAGGAATTCTTTTTCCTTTTGAAGTGCAGCAGAGTACCTGTAGTTCCAGGCACTGGTCTAACATCATCCTGCGCTGGACCCAGGCCTTCTCTAGGTCTGTCCGTTCTTGATCTAGAGTATCCAGGGAGAAAAAGCTCCAAAGCATGAGAAAGGCAGACCAACAGCACTGCTCATCACTATGAAAGAATAAGCCTTCTTCTGAAAGCAGGAATTCTTTTTCCTTTTGAAGTGCAGCAGAGTACCTGTAGTTCCAGGCACTGGTCTAACATCATCCTGCGCTGGACCCAGGCCTTCTCTAGGTCTGTCCGTTCTTGATCTAGAGTATCCAGTTTCTCCTTGATCTCTGGGCTGGCATAGTGCCCATGAGCCAGAAGCTGTTGTCCAAACTGTTCAAATGCCTGGAAAGTGCCAGCCCTTGCATCGATTTCAGTGCGATGTTCCTGAAAGGTACGGAGATGCGTTACCAAATACACAGATGGCCGAGCTGGAACTAATCTATTCTTGGAATTCTAAATGGAAAGTGTCAGAAAAAGAAACATTTGTTGATGTTTGATATACACTTATCTTTCACCTACCTGGTGCCTTTCTAGTAAAGCTTCAGCTCCAGTCACATCCTTTGCAAGTTCGTCTGAGGAGACCAGGCCCCGGATTCCATTGATCCAAGACATAAGGTCCCTGTGAACACGTATTAATAGAATGTTTTTCCCTCCATCCATGGAAATAAGTCAGAACAAGGAAAACAGTCCTTTTTGCCCCCCTCAATACTCCAGTAGAACAATAAGCCATATATACTTTGCTAATAACATACCAGACAGATAAACTGGGGCAGAAGGGGAATAGCATCTTTACCTGAAGTCACTGAGGAATCGCTGCAGGTCATGAGAATCTCCAAGCTTCTCTTTGCGCTGGTCAGCACGTTTTCCCAGACTACTCCAAGCCTGATTCAACTCAGTACATTTTTCTTGGAGATCTTCAGCAGATTCTGGATGTGACTGGATCAGACGCTGGGCAGTTTCACCAAGAGAATTCACCTAGAAGTAGAGAAAGGGAAATAAACACAATGAAGACGAAAAGAATCTTTTCTATGGTTCAATCATTTCTTCTAGATAAGAAGAAAGCTTTTGACTTTGTCCTCCTTACAATCCCACCTTGTCTCCAAGAGCTGCCAAGTCTCTCTCAAAGCCTTCATGTTTGCGCTGCAGAGCCTGCACGCTGGCCAAGTCATGTCCATAGTTGTCTGTATTTAATGCTTGGTTCTTCTCCTCTATCCATTCTTTTGTTTCATCAGCATCTCTGGTTTAAGTGAAGGGAAAGCAAAAAGTGAATTAAACTGGAGGTCACGCTAGGAATCTGATACCATGCAGAGAACCAGAGGAGCTCACGTAGTTCATGGCTCTATTAACCTGTTTCACAAGATGACACAAGTGAACTCTGGTGAAACAGGGCAGTAGTCCCGACCTCCCAAACCCACAGCAATTCCATGCTTTCATGTTAACAAGCCTATCTTTTTTCTAGGAAGAATATAAAGAATTCTTGTTGGACCACTGGTGGTCAAACTTCCACTGGACAAGCTGGGGGTTATATATGATTTGTTTAGCGTAGGTCCCACCACAGAACCACCTAGGTTGAAAAAGACCTTTAATACCATCATTACTCCAACGACTGTCAAGCCCACCTCTAAAACATGTCACAAAGGGCAAACGGATCTCCCCTCATGTCCGCCTTTCATGATCTCCAGCTGCAGCCATTCTTCATGCGCCCCCTCACAGTGGTCCACACTATAGAGCTGCCGCCCCTACCCCTCATGGCAACCCCTCATCTCCCCTCAAGATCTCCCCTCACAGCCCATGGCTGCCCCTGCTCTAACCTCATGATCTCCCCTCACAACTGCCCCACCTCTCCCCTCATGATCTCCCCTCATGGCCGCCCCTGCGCACCCCTCATGATCTCCCCTCTCCCCTCATGGCTGCCC